CGGGCATTTGGTACCGGGCCGCACAGAAAGAACTTGCCTTAATTCCGTTTTATTTATTTCGGAATACGAAAGATGTTTTATTTTGAAAAACTACCGGATTCTCCGTTACATCCGTCTGTGTTACGCTTGACACACGTCAAGCCACGCTTCTCCTTCACGTGACCGATTACTTCAAAACAAAACACGGGAGCTCGCAAAATGAGTAAAAAAAAAACTGCTGGAGATCGCAAATGACGGCGGCCTTAAAAGTACGTTCGAGACAACTGGATCAAAGTTATGCCTGAATACTCTGAGATGGCCACAATAGCACTGTTGCTATTTCCGACATCCTACCAGTGTGAGACGGGGGGTTTCTGCAGCAACGGCGACGAAAACAAAATTACGAAGTAGACTGGACATAAACCACACACTTGAGGTGTCATTGTCTCCTATTAGCCCGAGATGGGACCGTCTGGTTGCAGAAAATCTAGCTCGGTGCTGTGGTGAGTCGTCATTTTCATGCACTTTGAATTTGCGTTGTATCGTATTTTGAAGGCATTAAACATTGCCATAGCGATCGGAGTGTTGCGGCCAGATTAGACGCTCCTAATGGAAGATCACGATTTTTATTTTACAGCACAGCAAAGACTTCCACCAAGGCCCAACAATCTTTCTGCTTGTCTGAAAAAAAAAAAAATCATGATTGTTCTATTCCAGTCCCATAGGTGGCAGTCATGCACATTACAGCAGGCCACCTGTCATCACAGCGACCACTGACAATTTGAATTACTATCTAACTGATTGACGACATAACCAACAAGTGACCGACTAAATAACTAATTGACTAACTAACCGGCTATTGAATGACAAACTTAGTGATGAATACTACAGACTAATTAACTGTTTAACGAACTGGGTGTTTGGAGGATTGACAAAGACATTCAGGAACTAGCCGACTAGCTAGCTTGCGCGCTAACTAACCAAATGACTGCATGACTATCAAACTCACTGACTGACTAAGTCAGTGACTGACTTATCAACTGACTGACCGACTAACTAAGTGACTGAATAAATAACTGGGGTATCCTCCAACGCACAAACACGAAGACATTTCTCTGCACGGTTGCTCCAAGCCAATCCTTAGCTTATGCTTCCCCTCCATGAACACCCTCAAAAAAAAAAAAGGAGGTGTCTTTGCTCCCAACCAGTATGACAAACAAACAAAACAGGCGTGTGTGGTCCACCTGCCAGGATGCACCTGCACAGAGGAACACGAGAGAAACCACTCAACAAAACCACTTCCTCCCATGGTACAGTCGAGACAACATCACCGGCACCTCTATGAATAGCGATAACCAAGCGACGATTGGCATTCAGCACCTCACACACACACACACACACACACACACAGACACACACACACACACACACACACAGACACACACACGCGCGGTACCGTTTTCTTCACATGGACTCTCGATCTTCGAGCAGATGGTCCGCTGTCCATCGCTGGCCCCCAAGTTCCAACTTTGCTGGTTCAGAGCCCCCCCACCCTGGACCCTGTGAGACCCTTGCAAACTATCCCGTCGCCGTCACAACACACAAAAGAGAAAAAGGCTGTCGTCGTCCTCGGTGTGGCGTCCAGTGGCTAAATAAGTCAGAGTGAGTCATGCCTGTGACTTTGCTGGATAAAATTACAGCCGACACCTCAACACCTCGCACCCTCTGCCGGCAGGGGGATCATGGGACATGCAACTATAAAAAGACCACCAAAATGGCACCGCCATGTCACATCCAGAAATTGAGCAATACTAGATTGGATTTTGTCCAAAGGCAATGCAATAGAGGGATCAATGTGCACTTGGTGGAATCAGAAGGTCCTTTTTCACTGCCTATTAAAGACCCTGGAAGGAATATTTATGGGTTTGTTTCTAAGTACATTATAGATATTTGAAGATAATTGTGTAAATCTGTTTTCATGATTTTTCGGGCAAAGCTTAAAAGGCATGAGTTGTCCCTCCCCTACTATGTAAAAACTTGAGCTCCTTCTTCGCATTAGCGGTTACCTGCCACAATTGTGATGTGCGATTAGCCAGCGAGCATATGTCCAGACCCCGAAAATGTATTTTCTCTTCGGAAGTTCCACTGGCCTGCCAGTTTTAGAGTGCCTCGTTGTTGGGCATGAGAGAAGACGAAAAAGCGAGGTAATTTTTTTCAGTTTCATGTGACAGCCAGCGTATGGACAGGGACTTTGCGCTGGCGTGGCTGCTTTAGAGAACATCATTGTGGTGGCATGAAAAAGGACTAGGTGGGAAATATTCTAACCACCAAAGGCTTTGACTGGAGACAGCTCGAACAAATAGCCTTCTTCCTACTACCCATAAAAATCCAGAACTTTTACAACAGCTTCCACATTACTGCTCAGTATAAATGTTATTGACAGAAAAAAAGGGGGCAACAAAATCACCTCAGCAATTTTCCACCTTCAGAAGTAGTATTAAAAGCCAAACTTTTTCTACCTTTTGTCCATACGTTTTTAAAAAAAAGTTTGTAACAAGACGCACGTCACTTCACAAGCATCCGAGTCTCACATAATGTTAAAATAATCAAGTCCGAAGATGCAGTTTGTAAAGAAGGCGAGTGAAGGATGAAATCGGTGCAACAATAAGTTGTATGATGGGATGCCTACAAGGCTGGGGGGTGGTTGTGTGGCAGACGCTGACTGGTGTGTGTGTGTGTGTGTGTGTGTGTGTGTGTGTGTGTGTGTGTGTGTGTGTGTGTGTGCGTGCGTTGAGGGGGATGGGGTGTGCGTATAATGAGGTCAGGAGGGGTCTGACGCTCCTCACAATGGAGGCTGAGGGGGTTCCTTCGCCTTTAAACTGTGTCAGGAGCCCTGAAACCTTGGAAGAGTTTGACGAAGTTCCTCTAGCTTGGGCGGCTAGAGGGGAGCGTAGAGGGGTGTGGGGCTTTGTGCACCATTTTTTTTGTGTGTGCACCATTTTGATGCATGCTTGAGACGAAAAAATATATATTTTCAGTTGGTTGGCTTGTGTTAAAAAAAAACACCTGGAACACAAGTTGTCTGAGTGTCACCACATAACATAACATGATTGGCATATTGATTCTGGAGTGTACAGTATGTCTTTTTTTTTTGTTGTCTTTTTCGTCGTGGCTTTGGTAGCAATCAGAACAAATCTCTTGGACTAGTTTGAATCCCTGCAAATGGCCAAATGATGCTACAACAGTTGCTTCAAACCCAAGTGGAAGACTTCTATTGTCTTTTCAGGGATGGCTTCTTGAGACTTTTTTGTGGCTCTATTTACGGAAGACAAATTTGAAGGGGCTCAGTGAAACTGTATTGTGTATTGTAGCAAGTTGAAAATGGTCAAAATGAGCATAAACTGGTCACTTGAAACCAAAATGGAAGACTCCGTGTATGCTTTCAGGTAAGATTTCTTCAGTCTTTTTTGTGGGCCTACTCATGGCAGACGTGGCTCCCCAATTTAATGTTGCTAAGTTAAAATGGCAAAAGGAGCTGAATTTATTGATTTATTTTTATTCCATTTTATGGGGAGTCAAAAATAGCCAAAATGAGCATAAAATGTCCATGTTAAAACAAAATGGTGGACTTCCTATGAGTTTTCAGGCCTAATTTATGGAAACAAAAAGTTGTCATGTTTACATTTTATCCTTAGTGGGACTTCAACTATGCTTACTTCCATAATCACGATAAAATAGTTACTTCAAAACAAAATGTCAGACTTCCTCTGTCGACCTGAGACGATTGTGGGTCTACTCATGACAGACGGCAAATTTCATGCTGCTTTCATGCTTTGGGGAATGAATTTTTTTTTTTTTTTTTTTTTTTAAAAACCAATACTCATTTTAGTGACGCTCACCTGTGTGGCCTTATCGCTGACACAGCTCCCCGCCGGGCCCTCTGTGGGTTCTTTGGGCCATTGCCCCTGCAGGTACGGCGCAAGGATTGCATCCAAAGAGAGGGTCCGCCGCATGGTGGGCTTGGGCGGGCGGGCAAAGGTCCGCTCTGCTTTTTTGGGGGGAGGAGGGAGACCAAAAAAAAAAAAAAAAAGCATGAAAAGACTCTTAAGACGGGGTTATTTGCTAAATTGATCCCAGGCGTTGCATGGGTCTGAAAAGACACACATGCACATTTGTGAACCAAGCCGACTCACAAGGAGCGCCACATGCACAAAGCATACAGCGATAATCAATATTTGAGGTAATTTTGACTGCCGTAAGTAAATAAACCTGATCATCAACAATATTTACATTTCAAATGCAGGCTCTTCTGCATATGTAATCACTTTTCTCAAATAGTATTCAGCCAACCACTGGGGGGAAAAAGCGAACGCGCCCTGCAGCGAGAGCCTAAAATCAATCGGTGGACTGATGAGAGCGGCTCATGTCAAGAAAGGACAGCAAAAATTGGAGATGAGGAGTATCATGGCTAGTGCTTCAAAGGGGAACAATGTAGCAAATGTATCCAGTTAGCCATTTGCGAAATTTAAATTACTATCTATTGGTTTGTTTTTTAATTATTATTATTTGTCATTTATTCTTTCAGAGTTTCATTTTGCTCTAAAAACTGATTGCATATTGTTTGTTGAGAAGCAGTGCAATCAAAATAGGTGGCAATCACAACGTGGGTCACTTTAAGTTAACATCACAATGTTTGTACAACGATGTTGATATCACAATAAAACAATTCTGAGAAACATTTGACAAAAAACACATCTGATACATCATGACATCTATTTGGCGTGGGAATTCATATACTTTTTGTCTTCTACTTTCTCCCTTTCATAGTTTTGCTGCTGTAAATTTGGAATTTCTCCATTGTGAGACAATTAAAGCTTTTCTTATCTTATCATATCTTATGAATTGCTGTGTGAGTCATAGGAAATGTTCATAATAAAATGATATCACAATGCAGCAACTGCATGATAGCATAGTGAGTCGTGGCATAATTTATGCATGTATTGTAATTTCAATGATATTGATATCACGATACAGCAAAAGTGCATATTGGACGAAAACTAAGGATGATGAATCCCACAAAAGTCCAAAAATTGCACTCGAACAATTACAAAAGCGAAATTATAGCATTTCGTCCAGTTTTTGTGACAACAAATCACAGGAGATATTAAATTACATCCTACGAATGTGATTGACCACTTCAATTTAATATGGTATCATCATAATATTTCAGATTATTATTCAGATACTTTGCCATGAAGAGTTACCTACCATCTATGTTTTTTTTTTTAATCGTAATTACAGCTAAACATATTAACGCACACTTATGACGAGATGAGGTTGACGCGTGCATGCGCGTGCGTGCACGCGCGCGTCTGATTACCCGTCTTGAGGAGCAGCTGGTAAGGCACCGTGGCCCGGAGTGGCAGCGGCGGCAAGTTGGGGTTGCTGCACCCGCGAGGAGCTGCTCCACTTCGGCCCGACATCCCTCACAGGTCCGGTTGGAAAGAACTCAAGCGCACGTACAAAACACACCGGCACGCGCAAAGCTCAGCTCTTCCGTTCACGGGCACCGATGCTCCCAAAGTCCCATCGCGGCCTGCTGTCAGATGTTTTTTTTCTTTTTCTTCTTGTTGGTGTGCTGCTTGCTCTCAACACGAGTGACAAGAAGTGGCGACACCATGCAAAAGTTTTGGGTCGTCTGGCATCTGGTTGGTTGGTGAAGGAAAAGCGAGCTCCCATTGGTCGTCATCTGCACCCCCTTAAAAAAGTTTGGAGGTCCAACCCACTTATTTTTTTTTCTTTCACGGTTGGATATCCTTTGTATGTGTGTGCGCGGATGAGTCTAGTCAATCGATGTACTTGATTGAAAAAAAAGTGTTTTTTTTTCTGTATTGACAATTGAAAGTTTAACCAATGTATTATTCAAAAGCAAGGTTTAATTTCCCTTCGATGTATTACTATTACTGCAACAAACAAGTTTGATCATGTTTTTATGTATTTTCAAAACATGTAATATTTCAAAGGGATGAAAATTACATATTTTTACCGCCCTCCCCCCCCCAAAAAAAAATGGAGCGATGAAAACTTAATTTTTAAAAGGGTAAACTATTTTTTATTCGGGGAGGTACTGATTAAAGAAAAAAAAATCTTCTCATAAAATAACGAAATTCTCATTTCATTGGTAGGTGTACCTAATAAAGTGGCTTATAGGAGTTTTTTTTATTGATTGCCGGTAGATGGAGCCAAAGTTCGCATATTCCGGTTAAATTGATGATTCCTTCTTTAACTTTCATGCAGTCACAAGTCCTGTGTATCAATCATGCAATCATGTAAAAGGCAGTTTATTGCAACACAAAACAATAGTAATAATAACAATAATCTCAGGTTTAAAGCGCACAAAGAAGGAAGTAGGCCGAAACAGGAGGTGTTGCGTCACATCCAATGCTGCGTGTTTGTTTTGGTTTGACAGTATTGACATCTGGTTTGTGTTGTTGTGATGTCCGAGAGACAACAAAATGG